ATGCTACCGCTGCTGCCACCGCCGCCGCAGCCTCCACCAGCACGAGCGCCGCCCCAAAACGGGTAATTACTTTTTCATGAAAGCAAATATATTTTTCATTGTTCCCGGCCCAGGAACGCGCGCTGGAGGTCAATAGAGTTTTTGAAAGTTTGCGCTGCAATCCAGCGCTGCCGGCAACGCCCTCGCCACCGCCGTCGGCGGCGACTGCGCCAGCAGACGCCGTCGCCCCTCGAATGCCGCGCCCTGGATTCTGCATCGAGGCTGTCTCCATATGGAATTACAATTAGAAGCGGCATCTTGCAAAGGAAGTGAGTCATCGTTAATTATCCTAATTTCACCCTGTAGAAATATTTGGAGTTTAAAAAATCCACAAGCCTGTTATGAATCTCATTTTCATTCTGAAAGGAAATACCCGGATAGTTGTTCTATACTCAACAGAAAAGCTGAAAATATGAAGGCGCAAAATCTGGTGAATAAGCTGGGTCTGGAATGTCTTCCCTAGCCGATTCTTGGATAGCTTCTTTCGTCAGGTTTGCAGAGTGCAGGCGGACGTCATCGTGCAGTAGCATCACTTCATGCAGCCTTCGTGGTCGATATTCTTGGACTGCGACTGCAAGGCGTCTCAGTTGTTGGTAATAAATGTCGACAGTGATGGTTACACTTCGAGGAAGCAATTCGTAGAAATCTACTCCCCCCTCTGCTTAACCAAAAGCATAACAAAATCTTTTGTTGACGCCCATTGGCATTTTTTGGGGTATTGCTGTTCTGTTAGAGCCCAGTTCGGAGTGTTGCATTATTTTTATTAGATTGACAGAAAGCTACTATTTCTAGTCACCAGTGTCGATACTGGAAATGGTCACGAGGTGTGTACTAGCTGTACACGAGCTAATGGATAACAAGCATGCAAATATGCATATTTCAGCCCTCGCTGATTTTTTTTATTTATTTACTTTTTTTTTTCTTAGATGACGCGATAGCCATACACCAGAGTTTTGAACTTTGCTAGTAGAACAGAAATGCACTATGGTTGAATGAACATTTTGAAAGGCCGAAGATCTTCCTGAACGTGGAGAATCACTGATATCAAAACGAACTTCCTTGAAATACGAACTTAACTTAGTTGTCTTGCTCTTTGCGATGACGTTGGGTAAATATTCTTCTCACCGCTTCAGCTATCACCCCTGGACTGAACTTGAAGATATGAGTATGTCGAAATGTTCCATTTAGCCCATTTGATACTCTATTTTCTATCGTCCACAGTAACATTCACTATTTGCAAGAATGCAAAATTATATACAAATACACAGGTGCTATACTACAACTATAAGAAAAAAAATTACAATCAAACATTTACCCCGCAGCAACAGAATCGTCAACACGCAAAACGAAAAAAAATATGGACTTATGCACCAATCCAATATTTTAAAATGCGAACAAAAACAAAGGTATTAAAATAAGTAATCGATTGTTTTAGTGTATAATGTAATTTACAGTTACTAGACAAGAGTCTGAAGGACTTCTCTATTTCCTTTAAATAAGAACACAACCCCATAAGAACTGACCCCTTCGTATGATGCAGTACATA